TGCTCCTATGATGCTGCTTGGCCTGCTGTGTTCATCCAGCCCTGCACCTTGTTGTCTCAATAATTAACTCTCCCATGTCATAGCACCTGCCCCCCACCCCCACTGCCGCCAAGCTGATAGTCCCCCAGCCCCACACAGCTCACTTCTACCTCCTTCCAAAAATCCACAAACAGGACTGTCCAGGTAGACCTATTGTTTCACCCTGCTCCTGCCCCACAGAACTGCTCTCTTCCCACCTTGACTCAGTCTTCTCTCCCTTGGAACGTACATCTCTACCCACGTACATCCATGATTCCTCTGATGCTTTACACCTGTTTCAAAATTTCCAGTTTGCAGGCTCCAGCCACCTCCTCTTTACCATGGATGTGCAATCCCTTTACACGTCCATTCCCCACCAGGAGGGTATTAGGGTTCTCTGCTTCTTCCTGGAGCAAAGACCTGCACCATCCCCACCTACCACCACCCTCCTTCACTTGGCCGAGCTTGTCCTCACCCTCAACAAATTCTCTTTTAACTCCTCTCATTTTCTTCAGGACAGAGGGGTGGCCATGGGTACCTGCACGGGCCCCAGTTATGCAGGTCTCTGTGGGGTACATGGAACATTCCTTGTTCCAGTCCTATTCCGCACCCTCCCCCTCACAACTCTTTCTCTGATATATCGATGATATTATCAGTACTATTTCCCTCTCTTGTCCGGAATTGGAAACGTTCATTGATTTCGCGTCCAATTTCCACCCTGCCCTCACTTTCACCTGGTCTATCTCGGATTCCTTCCTTCCCTTTCTCGACATCTGTTTCCATTTCTGGGGATAGATTGGCCACTAATATCCACCACAAACCCACGGACTCCCACAGCTACCTGGACTATACATCCTCACACGCTGCTTCCTATAAAGAATGCATCCCATTCTCTCAGTTTGTCTGTCTCCATTGTATATGTTCAGACAAGGCCAATTTCGACAAGGGAGCCTACGAAATGTCCACCTTCTACCTCAACAGAGGATTCCCCAGCACTATTGTCAACAAGACCCTCAACCAGGTCCGACCCATCTCCCGCACTTCCTTCCTCACCCCTTCTCTTCCCTCCAGCTACAGTGATAGGATTCCCTTTGTCCTTACCTACCATTCCACCTGCATCCATATCCAGAAGATCAGACACCATTTCTGCCACCTCCAGCGAGAAGTCACTACCAGACACATATTTGCCTTCCTTCGGGACACCTTGGTCCACTCTTCCTTCACCCCCGACAACCAACACCACCACCTCCCCCCACCCATCAACACCTTCCCCTGCAACTGGCAAAGGTGCAACAGCTGCCCATTTACCTCCTCCCTCTCCAGTATCCAATGGCCCAAACATATCTTCCACGTGAAGCAACACTTCACCTGCACTTCCCACAATCTAGTCTACTGCATTCGCTGCTCACAATGTGGTCTCCTCTACATTGGGGAAACAAAGCGTAAACTGAGTGACCACTTTGCAGAACATCTACATTCTGCTCGCAAACTAGACCTTGAGCTTCCAGTTGCCTGCCACTTTAACACACCACCCTGTTCCCTGGGCAACATCTGTGTCTCTCGCTTGCTGCAGTGTTCCAGCAAAGCTCAACGCAAGCTGGAAAAACAGCACCTCATTTTCCACTTGGGGACCCTACGGCCCTCCGGATTCAGTATCGAGTTCAATAATTTTACGGCCTAAACTCTCCCAAATCCCAGTCCTTGTTATCACATAGCCTGCCATTACACACTAGGTATTGTTGGTCACTAACAGTCCCCATTAACAGCTATTCACCCTCCTAGACAGATCATTATCAACCCCTTTGTCTATCCAATTGCTCTTCTCTCTCTCTTTGGGCTCTATCCTTTAACCTATCATTTACTCCCTACCGCTACCCCCACCCCCTCCCTATTTTCTGCATGTAAACCGACATTTTCCCAGTTCTGAGGAAGGGTCACCGGACCCGAAACGTTAACTGTGTTTTCTCCTCCACAGATGCTGCCAGACCTGCTGAGCTTTTCCAGCAACTTTGTTTTTGTTCCTTATTTTCCCAGCTACCATTTGTTCTGAGGAAGGGTCACCAGAACTGAAACGTTAACTCTTATTTTTCTTCACAGATGCTGCTAGACCTGCTGAGCTTTTCCAGCAACTTCTGTTCTTGTTCCTGATTTACAGCATCCACAGTTCTTTCAGTTTTTAATAAATTTCCTCTTGTCCATATAACCTATCCCACACAACTGTGAATCCTTGTGTATGACTAGCTATACACCCTCCATCCAGAAAATGATGATTTTAATTACTACTTTCGAGGCTCATAATAATTATTCCATATTATTTTGAGATATTTCAAATGGAAGTAACAAATGGACATATAGAATGTTACGCATTTCACGATCAGTACAGTTGTGCTACTCAGTACAAATGGGCAATTCACGATTCTACAGCATTTCTTATATACACAGCCTAACGTGTTTATGTTGAAGGGTGCAGAACAGTGAAGGGAAAGTTTAAAAAAGAAAGGAACATGGAAACTGAAAGATAGTTTAAAAAAACCCTGTGTTTTGGGGAGGTTTTTCCTTCAAAGCAGATAGAGGGAAGGAGATCAAATGTTAAGGAAAAGCATACAGTTAATGGCAGGATCCTGAACAGCACTGATATACAAAGGGATCTTGGGGTTCAAGTCTGTAGCTCCCTGAAAGTGGCCATGCAGGTGGCTAGGGTGGTAAAGAATTTGTATGGCATCCTTGCCTTTATTGGTTGGGGAATTGAGTACAAGAGTCAAGAGTCATGATGTCATGCTACAGCTTTATAAGACTTTGGTTAGGCCACACAGCGTACTGCATTCAATTCTGGTCACCACATTGTTTCTGTGATGTGGAGGCTTTGGAGAGGGTGCAGAAGAAGTTTACCAGGATGCTGCCTGGATTAGACAGTATGAATGATGTGGGGGTGATGGTGTTGGACTGGGGTGGACTAAGTCAGAAGTCACATTGTGTTAGGTTTTATTGGTAGAGGGATTGAGTTTTGGAGCCATGAGGTCATGTTGCAGCTGTACAAAACTCTGGTGTGGCCACACTTGGAGTATTGCGTACAGTTCTGGTCACCACATTATAGGAAGGATGTGCAAGCATTGGAAAGGGTGCAGAGGAGATTTACCAGGATGTTGCCTGGT